GGCAGCTCCCTGCCCGCAGAACCTGCACAGGAAACCGGCGGAAGTCAGCGCCCGGGCCGCGGCTTCCCTGCAGCTGGAAAAGGCAGGTGCTCGGAAGCCACGTTCCTTTCTCCCAGGACGCCCGGAGCCTGCGCGGGCCCTGCCCTTCCCCCCTTCCCCCCACCTGCCGCTGTCACTCCTGGAAAAGCATGTGCCCCGGTCTCCTGCTGCAACACCAGCTGTAACTCTAATGACAAGGTTATAACAGAAACCTAAAGAGGGTAACATGTAAATACTGTGTTATTTAGCCTACAGTACAGTAATCTGGATACAAATGAGAAGGGAGAGCCGAATTTCCTTTCCCCACGCTGCCTCTACTTGCCTACGTTAGACCGGCCTTCGATGCAAATCTTAACCTCCTGAGGGATTAGAGAAGGTTTAGGAAGAGTCAAAGGTGGCTCGTCTTCCGACTTCTCCAGTTTGCGGGTCTCCGGCGCCGACCACCTCCTCTTCCTGGTTGCCGTGGGCTTGCTGGGTTCGATTTTGGTGAGCAGGGACGCTGCAGGCAATGCTATTTTTTCTGGAAACTTGAGTTCGCCGTTCTCGGACAGCATCGGGGCGCTTCCCTGGTTGATGCCGTTCTCCTGCTCCGTGTACCTGTGTCTGCTGCCCGCCAGGCTGTCCGTCTTTGAATGCTTCAGCAGGACGCTGGCCGGATCCACGGGCGGGCCCTTTTTAACAGAGCCGTTCTTCAGGTTCTTGAGGGTCAGTGAGATGCAGACATCCCCAACAGAGAGTTTGGAACACGGCAGATCAAAGAGCTGGCTGGTTCTCTCTGGACAGCAGGATGACCATCCCTGTCCAAACACAAAAAAAGGGTACTCTACCAAAACCTCCACGCTGACCTGCGGAGACAGTGAGAGACAGAGAGCAAAGAAGAAGGAAACAAATGAAGACATTTTAGTCTTGTTTTAATTCATACACGCCCACGTGCCTAAGCCAAAGGGGGGCAGGGGAGGGAATAAGACTGTTCCACGATCCTCATCCGCCAACACACGCAAATGAGGCCCTTAATTTTTTGCTGTACCTGTATTTATCATATATAGGTGCTGGGTAGAAGCCAGTAAAAAAAAAAAAAAAGTCCATTTAGTGTTCACAGTATCATTTTACTGAGTATCAGCTCTATAGCTGGCCTCCCTTAAAACAAATGGATCGGCCCCCAAGGGCAATGGAACAGGTGCTCAGTGTTCAGCCCTGGAGCACAAGATACAGTCTTGCACTTTCTCCGCTCACTGGGCAAATGCCAATCTCACGTATGACAGAGCTGATTAGGAATCAGAATGAGGCTGTATGTAAGGTCCACCAGGCAGCACTTACCTGTTTATATCACTGTATCCCTGGCCCCTAAAAGGAGACCTGGTGTATGGCTGAAGCTTAATAAATATTTATCGGATAAATGAGCCGTGTACTCAAAACCTGGGGACAGCAGAGCCGGTGAAGGCTGGAGGAAACAGGCAGGGCTTCCCCGTTTTCCTGGGACCCTGAAGGCTGGGCAGCATTTCGAGAGGATTGAGGGGTGGGCAGTGTGGGCAGTGTTGGGGAGAGCTCGGTAAACTGGGCAGAGAGAGCAAGTACTTGGCCCGTCCAAGGTCAAGTTCCAGGTACTCAAATCAGGCTGTGCATTGGTTTGAAAACCACTCCCCAGAATGGGGGGCGCTCACTATCCTCCCAAAAGCTGCTGTTTCCTCTGCCACCATGTGCTATGCATGCACTGTGCTAAGTAAATAAGCTGAAAAAGTCCTGGTCCCAGAGTAGGTCACAATCAAGCAGGCAGAAGAGGTCCAGGAACGTAGTAACTGCCAATCAATGTGGCAAGTAGGGTGATAACACTTTACTACAATATTAAGTTGTTGGAGGGCAGAGAAAAGGCATAGACCGGTTTGAAGAAGAGGTGATTAAGGAAGTCGAATACACTGTGCTAAGTTTTAAAAAATAATCAGGGTGGAGTACAGGTGTGGATGCAAGGAGAAGATATTCCTGGAAGTGGAGATACATGAACAAAAGGCAAGGAGACAGTGGGTGTAGGGGTTTGCAAACTGTCCAGTGAAGGTCTTACTGTTGCCATTAAGTAAGGCTGAAATGCACTTGAGGTTCTAAAGGTTTAATCTGCCTAGAAATTTATTTTCTTCAACTTTATGCTACACAAAAAAGAAAAAAAACCCAATGAAGTCGTTTTAAAGAGGCAATTTTCAGTGGCTTTTCTAGAAGTAACAGAATAGGTAATTCGGACCAATCTTCTTTCTCGCTGAGGACAACCAAATACTCTGAACAAAACCCAAGTAAACAAAAACTAAGGGCAAAATGTAAAAAAAACTATTTCTTATGGCACTAGACAGAAAATAAGGTTGTGAAAAATCACCGGGGAAGGTTCAGGGAAAGGGTGACAGTCTAGAGATTTAAACCTGGTGTTTAGGGCTAGTTTCCTCCAAGGGCATTTGCACATTCCAAACTGGAATAGTTTCAAAACCAAGTGGTCTGGACTTTTTGTAATCTCAAGAGCATGGTGGGGGTGGGGAGGAGAAGGGAATGAAATTCAGGGTACCCTTCAGGTATATCAACGGGAGGATGCTCTCTGGTGAGCTCCACTCTTTTGGGCTGTGACTCCAAAGTGCTCTACACTCTAGAAGTGAGGTGAGCCAGAAGCAGACAGGCCTTCTCAAAGTCTGAAGCTCAGATTTTAATCATCCTAGCCCCTAAAATCAGGGTAAGGTCTGAATTGTTTCCAAGTAAAAATAATTATTTGCAATTATTTCCAAATAAAAGACATTCAATTAAAAAAGAGGGATGAGGTCCACAAATAGACCAGAGGATGTGAATAAAAAACCAGTAGCAATAACAGATAATAGCAACAGACCCTCGGGGGCTTCTGATGTAGGATCATCAGATACGCAGACATTAAAATGACCTAGACTCAGGTCATGATCTCACCATTTGTGAGTTTGAGCCATGCATCAGGCTCTGCGCTGACAGTGGGGGCTGCTTAGGATTCTGTCTCCTTTTCTCTGCCCCTCCCTCCTCAAAAATAAATAAGCATTTTTTAAAAAGACTTAAAAAAAGGGGGGTTCCTGGGTGGCTCAGTCGGCATCATGATCTCACAGGTTTGTGAGATTGAGCCCTGCATCTGGTTCTGCACTGACAGTGTGAAGCCTGATTGGGATTCTCTCTCTCCCTCTCTCTCTCTGCTCCTCCCCTGCTCATGGACACACACACTCTCTCTCTCTCAAAAATAAACTTCAAAAAATATTAAAAAAAATAACCTATGCTTATAGTATTTAAGGAGATTAAAGACAAGCTTGAGGATTTTGGTAGAGATCTAGAACCTGTGTTCCAAAGATCCATGGAAATTCTAGAATGAAGAAACATATATTCACTAAAATAAAAAACGCAATGAATTTTACAACAGAATAAATGTGGCTGATGACAGAACCTATGAACTGGATTCCTGAATTTGAGCTTCGGAAGAAACCATGCAGAACGAGACACAGAGACACAAAAATCACGGACACAGAGGATATAGGAGAGACACAGAAGACACATGGAGAAGACCCAACAGACAAATAAATTGCATTCCACCTGGAGGAGAGAGAGATCACGGGGCAGAAGTGACATTTTTTAAGAGATAACTGCTAAAAATTTTCCAAAATTGGTATGAGACAACAATCCACAGATTCAAGAAGGTCTAACCCCTAAGTAGGAAAAATATTTTTATTTTTGTAAATTATTTTCATGTTTATTTATTTTTGGGTGAGAGAGGGAGACAGAGTGCAAACAGGGAAGGGGCAGAGAGAGAGGGAGGCACAGGATCGGAAGCAGGCTCCAGGCTCCGAGCTGTCAGTACAGAGCCCGATGCGGAGCTTGAACCCACAGACCGTGAGATCATGACCTGAGCCGAAGTCTGACGCTTAACCAACTGAGCCCCCAGGCGCCCCAAGGGACTATTTTAAGTATCATGTTCCTTCTTATCTGTATCAAAACTCACATTCAACGATGAGTTCTGGGTTGCCAAAGAGGATTTGTTTTTCCCACTTGTCTAAGTCTTTGTCTATGAGCTAAGCAAGCCCAACATCAAGTGCAAAGATTACAGGTGGGGAATTTTTGATGTGTGTTCATATTCAAGCGGAGATCAGAAAAGCCCAACCGAAAGAACTTGGCAGTGAAAGTGACAATTGTGGACTGAACACAAGTTCTTTTTAAAACGGCTATTTTGAAGATTGTGATTCCGACTTTGGAAGAACTAAGATGACTGACAGTGGGAGGAATCACGTGAAATTCCTTAAATGAAAAAGTTACTGACAAAAAAATGGAACTGTTTTGTCCAGAAGACAATGGAATATCCTTAAAGCACTAAAGAAAAAGAATTGCCAACCAAGTATTCTGTATTGAGCAAAAGGATCCCTCAGGAATGAAGGCAAAATAAAGACATTTTCCAGATGAATAGTAATTAAGAGAAATCACCACCAGAGATCTGCACTAAAGAAAATGCTACGGAGTATTCTTTAGGTAGAGGAAAAAAATCAATCTAGGTGGAAGTTTGTAGATGCAGGGAAGAAGGAAGAACAATGAAAATGATAGATGGAGGTAAGTCAAAATAATATTGACTATAATAATATTAAAAACATTCTGTTGAATTTTATACACAGGCACACATACACAAACACATAAGTAATTAAAATACCCCCCAAACCTAGGGGTGCCTGGGTGGCTCAGTTGGTTAAGCTTCTGACTCTTGATTTTGGCTCAGGTCATGAGCTCATGGTTTGTGAGTTTGAGCCCGTGTCAGGCTCTGTGCTGACAGTGCAGAGCCTGCTTGGGATTCTCTCTCTCTCTCTCTCTCTCTCTTAAAATAAATAAATAAACTTAAAAAATAATGAAATATCCCCAAACCTCCAAAGTAGCACATTTCCATGTAATTTATATGGATTGTGGCTTTCTAGTTTATCTAATCTTTTTTGATAACTATGATTTATCTGGTTCTACACACACTTATTAAGGGATATACTTTATTTGCTCCATAAAAGGCACAGTATTTATAGAGGGGACAACTGGAGTGAATTTATATGCAAGCTTATTACTATAGCGTGCGTGTGAACAGGAGCCCATATAAATGTGCATATTATCGGGGGGGAAAACTTCATTGTTCTGGGCTATTTTAATAATGTAAAGAGGGGCGCCTGGGTGGCGCAGTCGGTTAAGCGTCCG